CTTGAAAGTCAACTTCCGCCAAGTGCATCCCATGACGATGGGTCTGGCATCCTCATCAAGAGGAATAGTCTTGCCCATGGCATCAACCTTACCGACCCCAATCAACTCACCGCCCGCCATCCACGCGCGAAGATAATCAGGGGCTCGCCCATCAGCAAGCAACTGCACAAAGTCTCGCAACACCAAGGCAAATGGGGTGTCTTCAGCTCCTCGCAAAAGCTCACGAAGGAGATCAGTTCGAAGACCGTCCGGCCCCGGCCCGGCCCCTTCGGGGAACGATTTGACCGCTTGAAGCAAAGTAGGCAATGGAAGCTCGGCAGGCTGCGGATCTGGGACTCTAGATATCTTATCCGCCTCAGGGCGAACAGGGAACTTAGACATCAACTTGGCCCGCACCTGCTCCGTGTCCAATGCCAAACCAGGAGACAACATACGTTTGGTTGCTTGTGACGCACGACCCAACGCAACTAAGCGTTCAACCTCCTGCGGCGGGCAACCGCCGAGTGAAGCGCGAGGTGCACGTTGAACTCGTGCCGAGGTGGTCGCCGCCGCCTCTGCCCACAAGGCCCCGCGATCGCCCAATTGCCATCGGAGCAAAAGCGCCTTAGTAAACGCATAGGCTTGCTGAGGTCTCTGGCCCCGACGCGACTGCCGCAGCACACACTTCGGAAACATCAGCAAATGAGTCCACGCCTCCTTGCCGTCCGCACTAGTGTCACCGTCTGCTCCGCGCTCGCCCTTGCGCAAAACTGCAGCCAACAAACGACCCAACTCCTCACGAATCAAAGGAATCAAGTTAGATGGAACATGCTCCTTAGTCCGGATTGGAACACTCCAAATGGCTCGAAAGTCCGGCAACTCTGCATCACCCTGAGCTACCCCATCTCGGCGAACTCGTTCCCAACAACGAGAGTGGACGCCTCCGTGAACCCTGCACGACGCCGACAAGCCGCACACGCGGCATGGCACGAGCTGACGTTGTGAGAACCAAATCAAATCCGGTCTCCCAGGCAACTCTCCCGACAAATGCAGATCAACATGCGCCCGCAGTGCATCGCCACTCCGCCATGGCGGCCCACCCATATCCCGATGTCGAAAGCATCCTGCAATCGGGCAATAATGGGGCCCGACTTTGACGTCCTCCGCAACCGGATGGGGCATAGGTACATCCTGAGCACCCGGATTCGAGACAAGAACATCTTGGACACACACTCCAAAGAGGTCCGCCAGCATGTCTTCCACGTCGGGGCCTACACCGGCTCCGCCATCCACAGGAGCAGAGACTCTTCCACTTCTCTGGGACTCACACCCATCAACCTCCATCGGAGAAGACTCAACCATGTTCAGTTGTCGGAATGGTCGAGGTTCAGGGTACGCGGGGAAAGCAAACGCACTCCCACAAAGACATAATCTCGCGAATGGGGGCAGACCTACGGTCATCCAAGACATCATGCCTGACGAGAAGTATCTACAAAGCGTAGGCGGCAAATGTTTGTCTCGACACCACCCATAGATTCCAAGCAGAAGAACAATCCCGCGAAACCCATCCCGCATACTTCCAATCCAGATTAAAAGAACTCCAAAGTAAACAAACTGCACACAACTCCCCAGAGAAAAGGAACCCTCAAGAATCCACTGTAACCCTCCCATATCAAGAACCGCTCTTCCAAATCCTGACGAGCACCTATTTGCTCCCCACGCCGAGGCGGCACATGAGCGAAGATGATGGAGGTAGAACAATTGCCCAGGCTGAACCCAACTACTTCGAGCGCCCCACAAGTGGACGTGTTGAAGGGGCATCCGAGCCCTGAACCTAGTCGCTGGCCAACACCACGGATCGTCATGTTTCCCGCAGCCCCTCACTCCAATCCCAAGACAAAGAAGGCAAACCAATGCGACTCCATGCCGCCGTCTTCCCCACATGTATCCTGCACGTCTCATCTGTCTCCTACGTCTGCCCGAAAACCAAGCCCAAGCAAGCCGCAGCAAAAGAAGCACTGCAACAATCCAACCCTGCGGAGGGGGGGGTGGCACCATTCGCCGCCGGCGCTCCGTCAGCCCCGCCGCTGCTCAGGACACATGCGGCTCCCATGGCTGGATGAGGTTTGAAGGTCAAGGCCTATTACCCCTAAACCCTAAAGATCCTGAATCCTAAATCCTAAAGGCCCTGAATTCTAAACCTGAATCCTAAATCCCAAACGCCAACCCTAAAGACCCTGAATCCTAAACCCTAAAAGATTCCCCCGCAGTCCCCCGCCCCCCCCCCATTCCCCTTACTGGAATTTTCTGGGTCCGCCGCCACCCCCCCGTCCTCGCGGGGGAGTCAGATTTTTGGAATTTTCAGGGATCTGAAATCCTCAAAAACCTGACTCCCCCGTAGTGGCCCCCCCCCCCCCGTCCCCCGACCGAATGCGGGGGAATTTTTAGAGTGTTCAGGGCCTGACATCCCCTCGTCCCCGAAAGCATGGTTTTCTCCCCCGTAATGTCCCCCCCCTATTCCCTTACTATCAAAGAAATGATGGAGACAATGGGAGACAAAGAGAGACGAAGGGAGACGAAAGGAGACGAGGAGCGCAACAACCCGGCAAAACCGCACATATGAAGGCAGACAAAGCAGATAAAGGGAGACAAAGGAAGATAAAGAGAGATAAAGAGAGACAAAGGGAGACAAAGGCAGATAACGAGAGATAAAGGGAAATAAGGAGCCCAGGAACGTGGCAATATCATCAGAATAGTAGCAATTCTTATATAGATTTTCGTGACCGTTATCAAAATAATTCTTCGTGATTCGTTTAAGTATGTGCAAAATCTATGATAGGGATTCAAAAATCATTTATAATATCATTTCTCTCGGATCCTCCTCCATTGATAATCATCATATTGATATTGAATTGAAAAAGTATGCAAAAACACATATGCAGATATATATATATATAGATAGCTAGATAGATAGATAGATATTTGCATATATTTATTTGTGTATTTCTCTATCTATTGATTTTGTTCATGTATTCAATTATCTATAAAAATATGTCTCTACAAATATATATGAAAATAGATGTTTCTATAATAAAACAAGATTTTCCCCCTCCCCAATTCCAATACATAATGGAAATTGAAGGTCCAAATAATAGCCCTTAGAACCAACAACGATTTTGAGGTCGGGTGGCTGTTCGGCCAGGTGGTTTCTTGGTACTTCTTGCCTGCCTATCCCGTTGGCGACAGGCAATAACGACTCACGATACAGTGACACAAAGCTCGAGGGCGGGAAGCCAAATGCTGCCAGCTCCCTTGTAGGCTCACGCGAGCCTGCTGCCTTTCGGCACCAGGCACGTCAAAATATTTGTGCTGCATCTACTTCCTGCGCGACCGCAAAACGGCAAGAGCGGCCAGCGCCACCCCTATGCCGCCAACCTCAGTTCATCGAGCCAGGAAATCTTCAGACATGGTAGCACAGCACCAGTATTAGAAAGGACAGCCCGAGAAATGAGAAAGCGAAGATAAACTTCAACCAGACTGCAAGGATTGCGATTGACGCAATAGAGCGCGACGATAGCGAAGATGATGCTCCAGCTTCCTGACCAAAGCTTTTGGGGCACATGTTCAATTAAACAAGCCTGTACAACACGTAAGGAACATAATGAAGTCAGCCTCAGGATTTGGAATGCCTTGCTCTTCAGTCCAGCCAGCAGCTCGATGATTGGCGACCTGAGGCTGGACACTGCGCTCTCTTGAGCACACCTACCCCCATTCTTTGGGAACGTGTGGGAACGTGAGGGAACGTTTGGGAACGCGTGGGAACGTGTGGGAACATGTGGGAACGTGTGGGAACGTTGGGAACGTGTGGGAACGTCTGGGAACGTGTGGGAAAATGTGGGAAAATGTGGGAACGTCGTCTCGTCCGCAAAACTGTAGATGCACAGGCTTCACAACCTTCCCGCGCAACTCTTTTGCACTGGTCCTGGCTCCTCCTCCGCAACTCTTAGATCGAAACAGAAGTCATTGTCGGCATGGAAGCACCAACTTCGCTATTTTGTCTTTCCAATCTTTGCGGATTCGCCCCAAGACGAAGCACAAACGGTTCTGACAATGGTTCTGACCACGTCCTGTGGTACTTCGTCAAAGCAGAGCGCACTTTGGCTTCCACGCCTGTCTCTATCTCCTTCAAGCTAGTGACCGCTTTTGAAGGATTCCAGCTCCATCCACTTTAAAATTAATGCAATTGATGGTCTACATGAAGATGTTGCTTTTTCCACCACCCACAGCAGACAAGCTGCAGGGTGGCACACTGTAGGTTTGCCACCCTGCGCTGGGCGTAGAGCTTAGGACTGAGAATTCCCGCTACCCGCTCCAGAGCATGCAGGGTTTATGGAAGTTGCCACCTTCTACATCCCTGCACGGCATAACAGCTATGTCAGACAGGTACTGCCACGAGAACAGACGAAATTCCAGCACACACTGGAGCCAGCTTGTCCCATTTTGGAGCCGTTTACTGTCCCAAAAAGGCAGTCGCATCAGGAATAAAGCCAGGCCTTTGGGATGGGTACGACATAAAGCCAGCTAGAACGAGTGCGAGTGAGCAGCGCAAACGACTAGCCAAAGGTAGTCTGTGGAAATGCGCAGACAGCGACATGCAAGTGGTGCTCAAGGGGAAGCCGAGCTTTCGGCTTGCTGCTCACAGCCTGCCAGCATTCCTTTCAGGACTATTGCCTCCTCGCTGCGAGCTTGCTCCGAATGCAGGGCATCCTGCACCAGATCTTGAGCATCTCATCTCCAGCAGGATATCTTAGCTGCCAAAATACGAAAAAAATACGGAAAAAACACGAAAAAATACGCAAAAAACACGGAAAAAAACACGGAAAAAACACGCGAAAAACACGGAAAAAACACGACAAAAACACAAGCCCCCCCCCCGCCCCCCCCCCCCCCCCCCCCCGCCGACCACCCCCCCCCCGCCGCCCCCTCCGCCCCCCCGCCCCCCCCCCGCCCCCCCCCTTTTCCTTTGCTTGCATTTTTCTCGTATTGTTCTTGCATTTTTCTTGTATTTTTCTTGTATTTTTTTCTTGTATTGTTCTTGCATTTTTTTGTATATGTCTTGCATTTTTTTGTATTTCACCGTTGTTCCTGAATCGCTACTTGTATTTTCTCTTGAATTCATTCTTGTATTTTTCTTGTATTTTTTTTCATTCTGCTGGGGGGTCAATACTTCCGAGACGCGCTCCTCACAATCTTAGCAAAACCCATACAAACAGCAAGTCCGAGCTGGGTTTTGAGTGAGACGCCCTGCGAAAATCCATACAAACAGCAGGTCAAAGCTTGGGTGTTCAGCGGGCCAGCCTAGCAAAACCCACAAACAATAGATCACAGCCAAGAAAAAGCGAAGCTCACATGAAAATTCAGCGTGGCCTCAAACTCTCCTGAAGCATCTTTACCAGCAACATCCTGCAGGAGATGCGCGCCTGGACAGGAATTTGCCACGTGGGGTCTCTTCTAGACATATCTGCCAAAAGCAGTTGCATGTGTACTCCGCTTGCAGTTGTCGCCTCCTGGATGATCAGGCATGAATTTGGAAACATCGTAGACCAAACCGTGGATGGCCATCCACACATCATCTGCAGTGTCATGTAACAATGTCTTCGCTACGCTCTGCATGCACTGCCCAGAATCAAGCGAATCTGTTTTGCTCTACATCGCCTTCATCATGGCCCTCTTTGGTCCCTCCATCCGTTTGAATCTGTTCTTTCTCATCTTTGTGTTGTTGCTTCATGGCAGCTACTATGACTATTAACACAGAACTTAACTAACCTCTTTGAATCCGGACTAGCCTGCATGAGAAACCGCATCACCCGCCCACCTCCAGATGCATGCTTTGCCAGCTCCTCCTGAGTCACAATCTTCATGTCAGGCATCCAGGCCAGCAAATGTTCAGGCACTGTCTTGAACCCTCGCAGCTGCAACATATACCCCCTCCGAATCGCATGAACTGCAGGCCACTGGCAACACATCCGCTGAGAAAGCATGTATCGAAACAATGTGCAGCAAAAAGGCAGGAACACGCGGGTACCGAACTCTTGGCTGCAGCACCAGCAAAGCATGGCACCAATCAGTGTTAACAGTGAGATGCATGAGTCTACGATGCTTGCATCTGTCAAACTAGCTGGCATGCAACCAACAGCTCCAAGACAATGCCACTCCTACGCTTGTCCGGGCCTAAGCTACAAAAGTGCCGAATACGAGAACCCCTGCACCGCATGGGTGCCCTGTTTCTGTGCCAGTTCTGCCGGACAGCAGGACGTCAAGTTGTAGCATTGCCGCGTTGGCCTGGCTACCAAGTCCACTTCTGCTTTCTTGCGCTTTTCCGACGGACCTTCTTGACTGTCGGCCGTCGCTGCAAAGATTCCCTTGTCGACGGCTGCGGCTCGTTGGGCAGAACTGCACCCACCTGTGCCTCCAGCGTGTTTACCTCCAGACCAAGCTTTCGTGAAGCAGCGGCTAGTTTCAGCAAGTCGAAGACTCCGAGCTCTCCCAAAGCCTCCGACCCCAGAGCAAGCAACATCCTCTTTCGCAAGCCGGGCGGCATGTCGTAATCAACCTTCGCTAGCGCATGTAAAAGTTTCACAGCATCGCGTGCGACAAACTCATCTTCGGGTCGATCGGCTAACGCACCTAGGACCATGCCAAAAAGCCTCGCAGGGGCAATATGGACCTTTGTGAAAGCATGCACGATGTTGATCAGCGCGGGCGACGCTAAGGTGGCAATACCCGTCACATCACTTCTTGTACTTCTGCAAGCCACAAACATGTCGGCGAGAGTTTCGTATAATCTGGAATCTCTCACCTGAAACTTTCCAAATGCCATGGTGAGTGTCGAAAGCTCATCGATTGTTGCTTTTGTCAAGTCGCAGCAATGCCTGCTTGTTTCCGGAGGCTCTACCACCAACGTGGGCCTGCGGAGCATCTGCACAGCCCGACCAGTCAACACAGGACAACTTATTCCAGCTTTTGCAAGCGACGCCAACATCGAACTCATCAAGGATACGTCCAGCAGGTGCAAGTGACGTCGGACTTGCACAGAAAGCAAGTCCAGCAGGGCAGTGTCTTGGCTTGTGAACTTTGCAAAGCCATACAGTACATCCGAAAGCTCTTCTGGCGTTAGGCAAGCTCGGACATCCTTGTCGCGCAGCCTGCTGGCCAACGTTGCAAATATTCTTTCATCATGAACCCGCACAACTGCAAAGGCCTTCGCTGCGCATGCACAGTCACTTGCACTTAAGGCACTGGGCTGCCGTCCAAGTGAATTTCCAATTCCAAGCAGCAACGCAGAAACTTGGCGGTCACCGCGCAACTTGAAGCCAGTGAATGCCCGCAGTAGCCGGCACATCTGCGTCACAGTGAAGAAAGACAGGTGTTCCAAAGCCACTCTTGCTGCTCCATCAACAAGCTCCGCTCGACAACCTGCGCCGCCAACGTCCAGCGGCAAGCACCCTGCGACATGCATCTCGGCAAGGGACTGCAATGAGCTAGAGAGACAGTCTGCGGTGGCACGTGACTGCTGTAGAAGTTCGAAAAGAGCTGCTTCCAGAGCTCTGAGAACACGGTCATTTCTCAGTCGGAGGTGTGCATGTGCTCGCAGTACCAAAGCAAGGCTTTCCCCATCCACGGTATCATTCTGAGCTGCTGCTATTGTCATGTCACCCAAGTTGTACCTCAGCGGCTCTGTTTGCTGCAACTATCTGCAACTGAATAGGGGATACTTCTTGAACCATCTTAACACGTCTTAACCAAACTCGTTCACGGAAGGCCTAGCTGTTTTGCTTTATGCAGGATCGTTCATGCCGCGAGACATCAACTCGTCATCATGGTGACGAACAGAAACGGCAGCATCAACGTACAAAGCGAAGTCTGACAACTTTGCCTCGCTCGAAAAAAGACGTTGTGCCTGCAAACTGCACGACCTCCAGAACACAGAATCCATGTGGTTGCTTTGTGCTGCACTGCGAGCGACCAACAGCAGTGTAGCAGTATCCTCTATACCTTCAGGCCTGTATACTAGATGCGCCGGCAAACCAGTCCCTTCCACACCGGCCGCAGTATGCATGTGGCCTGCAGCAGGCGACCATTTGTTCGGAAGGTTTCCTGACCACCCACTTCGGCCATGTATCAGCGTCACAGCGGGTCCGGTTTGCCTCACAGCCTGCTTGGCAAAGCGCAACGCATGCACCGACATGCGCTCTCCTCTATCCTCCAATGGAAGAATTGCATCGGTGCCGCCATGTCATGGATGCGTTCTGCCTCCTATCGACATCTTGGCGTAGAATGCACATGCTCTCAAACCAAAGCACACAGTTTTGTGTTCTAACGCTCTACCCTGCGATGTAAGCCTGCAGCGAGTAATGCTGCTACTGCTGCAAACAGAGGCTGCAGAAAGCCAGACAAGAGAGAGGATACTTTAGGGGCAACTCCGTCTGCAAAGCTGGCAAAGAGCCCCAACCCGTTGCAATTGCAAGTTTCGGCCCCTGCCGAAGTGATTGAATCAGTCCGACGGGGGGCGGGGGGGGGGGGGGGGGTTTAATGAAGCGAAGTGAACATTACCCAGGGACCTGCACAACCCATGGGGTTCCAAAACCTAGGCTTTAGGACATGGCAATATCTACAGCCATATGTTGCGCGTGCAAGACTAATGCCTCATGCCATTGACATGGATGCTGGCGCTTCGACTTTGGGTTGAAAGTCGTTTTGCCACCCGCCTAGCCAACTGTTGCCACTCCGCAGGTTTAGGGTTTGGATTTCAGGGGTTAAGGGAACCCAAAAACTTGAGATTTCTATTGTTCCGGATTTGGTGTCAAGTGCCCCCCTTCCGAAGAATCCTCCCCCACTCCCATGCTCAGGTGCCTTCTGAAACGAATTTGCAAGCAACACGCGTACTGCAAGAGCAGGAAAAGCCGCAAGCAAGTGACCAGATGGCAGAACTACCAACGCTCTTTTTTCCTGATCAAAATTCTGCACAGGCGACTGGCAGTCTGTCTAGTCAAGCTCTGCCAAGTTGCAGGAGTGCCGCAGACTTCCATTGGACTTCGCTTGCTGCTCCAGCATGAATGTCTCATACCTCACCGGCTTTGCACAGTGCGATATGTGCTTCTGTTGACGAAGCCCTTCCTGTTACATTCCAGAGAGGAGCAGGACATTTAGACTTTCTTTTAGATGCGGTCATGCTGCAGGGGCATGCTGGTGTAAAGAAATCGCAGCGCTTCACAAAGAGCTGCGTGAGCAGGGGGGCAATCCAAATTTGCATCGTGCACCTGGCCAGGAACCCCTTACACTTCATCGCTCGCTTTGACAATCTCACCGCCAAACAAGGCAATGAATGGTTTGCAACGAAGGCGCCATCGCCAAGCCTGCGAGACTGCGAGACTGATTTCTAAACAGTCTGGCTAGAAGCAACTATCGGCAAGGTGAAGTTCACTTCAAATTGAGCGCACCTGCTGATTGGAACTCTGCCAAGCTGTGCTGAGAATTGTTCGAAGTTATGAGCTCCGAAAACAATGCATCACGTAGCTCGGCATTTCTTTCACCTCAGGAAGTGGCTCGCAGAGCCATGGCAGCAGCGGGGGTGCGAAGGCCCTCTTTGGAACCTTCATAACTTAACGGTATTGAAAGACTACAACCGAAGCGCCCAAAGGTTTCTTGCAAACAATGCAACTGCCGCGTACTGCCGCCTACTGCCGCTAGTCTCCGAGTATCTAGCTTGGTCACGAGGCAAAAGTGTTTCAGAGCTGCCAAGTTGGGCAAGGAACCGTGCAGTAAGTTGTGAATGAAGCCAGAAGCTGCATCGCTCAACCTGCTTGTCAGCCTGGCCAGAAAATTGCACAATGCATTCAGACCTATACACACACTAAAACAAACTGATGCAAACAATGCAAGCTCAGCTCAGATCGATGAAGATAAGCGTTCAAGTGTGGCATCCGTTCCCGCGCAAACGAAAGGATTTTTAACGGAATCTGACTTGCCACTGGCACAGGCTAACTGCTCATGCTGACTGGCATTCTTGCCGTCCACTCTTCAGATGGAGCCGAGAGCCTTGAGCCTCTGGTTTTGAAGTGTCTTAGGAAGCTCCTTTCAAATCCTGCGCGTGTGCCAAGCTCGGACACAAGAGGACAAAAAGCTGCGTCTCCCCTCTCATTCACTCTTCTGTCCTGCATGCTTGCTCTCTCCTGCAGATTTCCTTGCTCTGCGCTTCCTAGCGTCGCGAGAAGCTTGCATGCTCTCGCGTATGAAGATGCAGGCACGAAGAAGGGGGGAAGGCGACATCGGGTAGAAGTACGCATCACAGCGCCAGAAGTTCTACCCTGCGAGGATGAGCGGAGAGAACCCCGTAGAAACAAGAGAGGAACTAGACCCAACTGACCAAGTTCGTAGGCCAAGCTTGCAGGGAGCTACCATCAGGCCAGGTAGAGCAGCAGAAAGTGGCACAAGCTCATTATAGGGAAGCGCCAACACCAAGCTTCAAAAAAGCCCGGTGCAGATCAAGGGGAGGAGGCACTGTCGGGAGGTTGACTTCCCGTAATGCGGCCGCGAGGGTCCAACCCAGAGTCGTAACGGACCCCACGTTACATGGTCAGCATCCGCAAAACGCGTACGAACAAGATGCAGCAATTGCCAGGGCACAGTCACAGCACGCCATGGACTGCTGACCGCAGCTTCTTGGATCAGAGTAAACATGCATTTGCGGGCCTGTCGTCTCCACCACTGAAACCAACAAGACTATGCACCTTCCATTCGGCGCAGAAACCAACCCATACATGATGTTTAAGGCGCAGGCATGCACAGGCTGTTTGACAACCGACATGTCAAAATACTGTCAGGTGCCTGACCGCACTCGTCCTGCATCTTTGAAGTCTCCGCCGCCAGCTCATCGTCTAGCGCTCCAAGCTCAGCGTTCAATGCGGACAGCTCCTGGTCACAGGTCCAAAGCACAGGCAAGGACCATCACGGACCATGGCATAAACTGCGTCCTCCTGTAGATTCCTCGCCTCACATGGCTCACCCAGACTTGAGCAACTCGTGTGTTCAGCCACAGCTGTGGCAACCATTGTGGTCGCATCTTCAAGCACAGCCACTTCCACGTGAGCGAAACCCAACTCACAGAAGTCCACATCCATAAGCTTCCCATGGTCAGCAGACCTTCCATGACCCATTGGGTGACTCCGATGTCAAAGCGAAGCAAACAAAATGAAACTAGACATGTCATAATAAGTCGACAAGTAAGGCTCAGACTGTACGTGCTCCACGGCTGCATTTTGGCCGCCCACCGCAGAAACTAGGCTTAGCAAAGACCTGGCTTTGGCACCGTAACTTCCACTGAGACCAGCTCCACTAAGGGTATAGCTGGCACACCATTCCAAAGCTTGCGTGCCATGTCTGATTTCGCGCAATACTTCTCCCAGTGGCACCTTAAGCATCTCTGCGAGCGGCGGCCGGTGCAACAAGGGCACCAAGAGCTCTCCTCCCATCCTTTGCCACTTACCCGGCTCTGCCTCCATGGCAGGCGGCGATGTTACAATCTGCGCCGCAACCTGCAGCACAGTCCTAACATCCAAAGGGCCTGAAAAGCAGTCAGCTGGCCGAGCGCATGTACCAATTGTATGTACGCTTGCATGCAAAGCCGGGCTCAGCAGCTTCAGAAGTATCTGTCCCCATGCACGATCGGCGTGGCTCCGTGAGATCTGCCATAGTTGGGTGAGAGCTGCAAGAAGTATTCGTCCAGGTGGGGTCCATGTCTCTAGATGTAAATCTATCAGCGGAGCTCCTGCGGGTGGTGAACTGAAGAGTGGAAAAGGGCCACCTGCGTGACGAAGCACTTGGCGTAAAACCCCCAAACATGTAGCATTGTCTTCTGACAGGCTCAATGTCTGAACGACATCCCGACTGTCAAGCAGCATGTACAAAGCAGCTGTCGCTTTTGTTAGAAGCTTCGGCTGCACACTTGGCCAACAGGACACCTGGACTACTCCCCAAAGATACGCGAATACCTCTGCCAGCACGCCTGCCTCGGCATAACTGTGCTGCTTGGTGCCTTCGCATTCTGACTCTGTGAACAAAAGCTGCACCGTGATGTCATGTATCTGCAACTCCTCCGGGGAAGGAGAAGAGGATGAAGGATGGAAAAGCTGCGCGAAGCGCGATGCAGCCAGATGCAACAGCGCGATTGCATGGCACTTGGTGTGGTGAGTACTTCTGGGCGAAGTTGGCATTGACAGGTGTAGTCCGCAGAGCGCGAGCCTTGAGGAATTGATCGCCAAGCATGCCAACGTTGTGGTAGCCACAGAGCAGCTGCAACCCGCCAAGAAGGTGCACAAGGTCTGGAAACAGACCTCAGATTTGGCCAGCATTGTTGCCGTCCAATGTTGCACTGCAGCATCGTGCAAACAACTTGGGCTGCAAACAGCTGACTTCGCAGCATCCCTTCTGGAAAAGCCGAGTTCGTGTTCAATCTCCGTCATCAAACTGTCTGGAACATCTAGCAAGCGCCACTGCGACGGCGAGTCGGCCTGTACATCCTGTACGATGTCTCCGTTTTCCGAAAAAACCCGAAAAATCAACCGCGCGAGGAACCGACCCAGGTCATGTGAGCTCAGCAACACCTCATGCAGCTCCAGCAACGGCTGAACGCTCGAGCGATCTTCTGAGAAGGGCTGCAAGCCATGAGATGATTGGAATATAGTGTGCTCCAGCAGCTGCGCGGTTGTGACTCTGATGTCATGCAGCAAGGATGATATGCGGGCGGCATCTCGGGTGGCATGTGCCTCTTCCGCAAGTTGGCGAACACAACGAGCTTCAACCAAGGATTTCAGCGGTCCACTTAAGATGCTGGTCAACAATGAAACCGCAACAGCTGCTGGGCAACCGAAAATGTCACGCTCGTTTGCTTCTTGCTCCATTGCTTCCCGGCATGCCCCCAAGGAAGTGCACAGAAGGATCAAGACAGGAACGAGCCGAGGAACCAGCTTATCCCGGTGTGCAGAAGGCAATCCATCCCCCTCCAACTGTCGGGCGCTGCCTGCCTCGAGCAGCAGAGCATCCAATCCAGCAGCAGCCAGAAACACGTTCAAAAATGGCTTTCGTGGATTCAGCGCTCGTGCATGCGGAGCATCATCACGGAGTTGTAGTTCCAAGACAATCTCAATAACCATTTTCGCTAAATTTCTTTCCGCTGGCGCATCACGCGTCCGCCAAGGCATAGATGACAAAGGCTGCGGCACGAAAGTTGCTACCTCCACTTGCAATGTCGCAGCCGTATTTGGCATGAAGGTTATGCAGAATACACCGATAAACGCAGCTCTGTATGCAATGGAATGCCATTCGTGACGCACCAGCTGCGACCATCGGCCTACCAGTGCTGTTGGGCTTCGGATAACGAACTCACTCATCATGGCTGCAGACACACATCTGCACATGGCCACGATGATGTCCAGTGCCCACAACACGGCATATCGGGCATAGCCTGACAAACAATCACCAAGCAGCCGGCGCACACCAACACTCTCCTCACACCATAGTTTCAAATCGATTGGCGCTGCACATGCAATGACAAGCAATAGCCAAGGCAACCTACGCCGAAACAGGTCGCATGCCTTGCCGGCTTGTGCTGTCGATTTGTTTGGTAACGCCAGGTCGATCAGCGAGCGTACTGTATCAGGAAGTGCAGCGTAGTAAAATGTGGCTGTGGCGAGTTTTGGAGTGGAATCTGCATCGCCCAACAAATTGCACAAAGACTCAGCCGCTCGAATCCGGCGATTGCCGCGCAACAGCCGCACTGCTTCACAAAGCACCTCCACCACGCCACTGGTTGCCAAGTCTTGTCTGAAGATGGAATCGCTATACACATGGCACATGTTGTACAAACACTCCAAAGCCGGCAGCTTCAAGGCACCATCTGCTGATACCGCGTGTACCTCCTTACTCGCCAAGGCCACGCACAAGCTTAGCACGTCTTCTGCACACGCCGACTTCACGAAGCAAACTGACCTGGACAACGACTGCAAGATGCAGCCGACGATGTCTTTCCTCTCCTCTTTGGCAGAGACATTCGCCGCAGATTCATCGTCCCCAGCAGCACCTCCACCGGCAAGCTCGTTCATAAGCGCAGGAAGAATTCCGCACTCCAGCAACCAGTTGCATGCACTGAGGTCGTCCACCATCAGCTCCACCAGCATGACAAGAACTTAGCTCAACATCACGGGGTGTGTCTCTGCGAGTCTCTGTGAGTCTCTGTGCCTCTCTGTGTTTCTCTGCGTGTCTGCGCGTGTCTGTGCGAGTCTGTGTGTCTGTGTGTCTGCGTGTCTGCGTGTCTGCTTGTCTGCGTGTCTGCGGGCCTGCGGGCCTGCGTGTGTCTGTCTCTCTGTCTGTCTCTGTCTCTGTCTCTGTCTCTGTCTCTGTCTCTGTCTCTGTCTGTGTCTGTGTCTCTGTGTCTCTGTGTCTCTGTGTCTCTGTGTCTCTGTGTCTCTGTGTCTCTGTGTCTCTGTGTCTCTGTGTCTCTGTGTCTCTGTGTCTCTGTGTCTCTGTGTCTCTGTGTCTCTGTGTCTCTGTGTCTCTGTGTCTCTGTGTCTCTGTGTCTCTGTGTCTCTGTGTCTCTGTGTCTCTGTGTCTCTGTGTCTCTGTGTCTCTGTGTCTCTGTGTCTCTGTGTCTCTGTGTCTCTGTGTCTCTGTGTCTCTGTGTCTCTGTGTCTCTGTGTCTCGCTGTGTCTCTGTGTCTCTGTGTCTCTGTGTCTCTGTGTCTCTGTGTCTCTGTGTCTCTGTGTCTCTGTGTCTCTGTGTCTCTGTGTCTCTGTGTCTCTGTGTCTCTGGGTCTCTGTGTCTCTGTGTCTCTGTGTCTCTGTGTCTCTGTGTCTCTGTGTCTCTGTGTCTCTGTGTCTCTGTGTCTCTGT